TTATTGTTGTTATTTATAATTTGTACAATTAACCTCTTTGTGGTTCGACCCCGGTCTTGCCGGGTTATTTATTACTTCGACACTCCTGCACTTGGGAGAAGACATCAATCTTTTCGTCGTGTCATTGTCTAGAATCCTTAAAATTTAGCTACTATGGTTGTTGAAAAAATAAGATTCTATATTTTTAGATAAATAAACTCATTTTCAACCCATTTTGATCTAAAATACCTATAAAACATCTTAGGAACCTTATTAAATCACTTTATGGCCTTCAAAAATACATAACCTAAAATCAACTTGAAATCCAAATCTTCTTGAACTCAAATCTAATTTTTTAAACACTTTCAAGGTAAAAAAAAAAAATCTAATCAGAAATATCCCCATCATAAAAAACTATTTGACACAAAAATTAACCGTTTTGATGGCTGAAATCATCACTAATAATAATTTTCTCTCTCTAAGCCAAAATCCAGATATTCTTTTTCTCTTCTCCAACAAAAAAGAAATGAAAATGAGAAAACCAAAGTTTGGTATTAAAATTCAATTTTTGAAAATTACATAGACATGTTTCTTGAGCTCAAAAAGATAAGGAACAAAAATGAACTTTTGAAATAAATTTCAAATCCATTACTTATTATGCCCATCTTTTTCACTTTAGTCCCCTCCTTTTCAATTCAACCCCCCTCCTAAAAATATGCAATTTAGGTGCTAATTTGAGATCAAAATGGCTAAATTATGCAAAATAAAGTTTGAAGACTAAATTAAAAATTAAAAAAAAAAAATACTACTCAAATCCACAATAATATTGTGTGAGGAGGTGAACAATAATAACAAAAGAACCTTTTTTACTTTTTTTTTTAAATTGGATGGTGATTAAACTACATATGTGTTTTTTTCTCCATATAAAATTATTTCATTCTCATTTAATTTTTATTTTGTTATTAAATAAAATTATTAAGACCTTTAGAATAGAGAGTATATTTTTTATAATATTAACAAGTATTTATTTTTTATTTGTCATTATTGTTTTTTATTTGTTTTTTTATTATTATTAGCTTTTTGTTATAATCATATTATAAAATTAATCAAATTTATTTAACCTATATGAATCAATTATTCGAGTTTCAAATTTTTTCTACTTCTTTAAAAGCATTATAAATGAGCTCGTATATAGTATTTGATAATGTAATACAAGTTATTTTTTAAAAATAATTTTTAATTAAAAATATATTAAAATAATTTTTTTATATTTTTTATTTTTTGTAACAGCACATCAAAATCATTAAAAAAAACTTTAAAAAAGTTAATTTAATAATTTAAAAAAAACTAAAAAACAGGTTTGATATAAAAGCAAACACTCACTAATAATGGTTTAAAAAACTGATCTCAGAATGTCTTTATTGCTAAAATAAATAAAAATATATACCAAGTGACTAAATAATTGGTGCGATCAGATTTTAGTAGTGGATGATCATTGAAGTTATCCTGCTACTGTCGGAGCTTCTTCAATGACAAAACTAGATTGGGGCAAGGGACAAAATTGATTAAAACAATTGTTAAAGGATAATATTGCTGACAAGAATATAGATTAGGGACGTTTTTGTAGTTAACCTATTCTAGCGGACGATAACAACAGAATTTTAAAGGCTGCAAGACCCGCCAAAGCATGAGTGCCATGGTTCATGGCAGTTCACACCTCTCAATTATGGCTGTTAACAAGGCTTTTCTTCTCTTACCGCGCAATACCTTTATACAAGAAAATTCCACCTGTACCCACCAACACTTTCTCCACACTCGCTCAAAACCAAACCCAACCACCCGCCAAGATCAGAACCTTTTCTCATATTTTCCAAGAATGCTCGAAACAAAACTCTCTGAATCCTGGAAAACAAGCACATGCTCGAATGATTTTTTGTGGGTTTGAACCTACAACCTTTGTGTCCAATTGTTTGATGCAAATGTACATAAAATGTTTGCATTTGGACTATGCGTGCAAGGTGTTTGATAAGATGTGTCTGAGGGATGTGGTTTCTTATAACTCCATTATTTCTGGATATGCTAGTTGTGGGGAAATGGATATTGCGAGAAAGTTTTTTAATGAGATTCCGGAGAGAGACGTGGTGTCATGGAATTCAGTGATTTCCGGGTTTTTGCAGAATGGTGAGTGTCGGAAGTCGATTGATGTTTTTTTGGAGATGGGGAGGTGCGGTGTGGGTTTTGACCGAGCGAGTCTTGCTGTTGTTTTGAAAGCTTGTGGGGCTTTGGAAGAGTGTTATATGGGAGTTCAGGTTCATGGACTTGTGGTGAAGTTTGGATTTGATTGTGATGTGGTCACTGGGAGTGCTTTGCTTGGTATGTATGCAAAGTGTAAGAGATTAGAAGATTCACTTTCAGTTTTTAGTGAACTTCCTGAGAAAAATTGGGTTTCTTGGAGTGCAATGATTGCTGGTTGTGTTCAAAATGATCGGAATGTTGAGGGTTTAGAGTTGTTCAAGGAGATGCAAGGGCTGGGAGTTGGGGTTAGTCAATCTATCTATGCTAGTCTTTTCAGATCCTGTGCAGGATTGTCAGCATTAAGATTGGGTAAAGAGTTGCATAGCCATGCTTTAAAGAGTGCTTTTGGATCTGACATTATTGTAGGAACTGCCACTTTGGATATGTATGCAAAATGTGGCAGGATGGCAGATGCTCAAAAGGTACTTAGCTCAATGCCAAAATGTAGTTTGCAATCGTTTAATGCCATTATCGTTGGGTATGCCAGAAGTGATCGAGGCTTTCAAGCTTTGAAGTCATTTCAGCTTCTGCTGAAAACTGGCCTTGGTTTTGATGAAATAACTCTATCCGGAGCATTAAATGCTTGTGCATCCATCAGAGGAGATTTGGAGGGGCGTCAAGTTCATGGATTAGCGGTTAAGAGTATTTCTATGTCAAATATTTGTGTTGCAAATGCCATCCTTGACATGTATGGTAAATGCAAGGCTCTTGCTGAAGCTTCTGATCTGTTTGATATGATGGAAAAGAGAGATGCTGTCTCTTGGAATGCAATTATCGCAGCATGTGAGCAGAATGGAAATGAAGAGGAAACACTTGCCCATTTTGCATCAATGATTCACTCAAGAATGGAACCTGATGACTTCACTTATGGCAGTGTCTTGAAAGCTTGTGCTGGTCGACAAGCTTTAAACACCGGCATGGAGATCCATACTAGAATTATAAAATCTGGAATGGGTTTTGACTCATTTGTGGGAGCTGCCCTTGTTGATATGTACTGCAAGTGTGGAATGATTGAAAAAGCAGATAAAATACATGACCGAACAGAACAAAAGACAATGGTTTCTTGGAATGCTATTATTTCTGGATTCTCTCTGCTACAACAAAGTGAGGATGCTCACAAATTTTTTTCAAGAATGTTGGAAATGGGTGTAAACCCAGACAACTTCACTTATGCAGCAGTTCTTGATACTTGTGCAAATTTAGCTACTGTTGGTCTTGGGAAGCAAATACATGCTCAAATTATCAAGCAGGAACTGCAATCAGATGTGTACATATGCAGCACCCTTGTTGATATGTACTCAAAGTGTGGAAACATGCAAGATTCTCAGCTGATGTTTGAGAAAGCACCTGACAGGGATTTTGTAACATGGAACGCCATGCTTTGTGGTTATGCTTATCATGGTCTTGGAGAAGAGGCATTAAAACTTTTTGAGCGTATGCAATTTGTGAATGTAAAGCCAAATCATGCAACTTTTGTTTCTGTCCTCAGAGCATGCGCACACATGGGGCTTGTTGATAAAGGGCTGCATTACTTTGATGTCATGCTGAGTGAGTACGGTTTAGATCCTCAATATGAGCACTATTCATGTATGGTTGACATACTAGGGAGATCAGGGCGCATTGATGAGGCATTGAATCTTGTTCAAAAGATGCCTTTCGAAGCTGATGCTGTTATCTGGAGAAATCTGCTTAGTGTTTGCAAGATCCATGGGAATGTAGAGGTTGCAGAAAAAGCAACTAGGGCTCTTTTGCAATTGGATCCGCAAGACTCTTCTGCTTGCGTTCTTCTATCAAACATTTATGCTGATGCAGGAATGTGGGGTAATGTTTCGGAGATGAGAAAGATGATGAGGCATAATAAGCTGAAAAAGGAACCAGGCTGTAGCTGGATTGAATTGAAAGATGAAGTGCATGCATTTCTTGTTGGGGACAAAGGCCACCCAAGACACGAAGAGATATATGAGAGACTTGGAGTGCTAATAGGAGAGATGCAGTCAGTTGGATATATACCTGATTGTGATGTTTTGCTTGATGAGGAAGTAGAAGAGCCTGCGCGGCTAGAAGAGCTAAGAACCTGCGCATACAATAGTTTAATATGTTGATGGCTGGATCTTAGAATTAAGGGTTTGAGAAGTCCTGAGGATTCAGTAAGATTGTAGGTTACGCAGTATGAACATTCTTGTTTGGTACAATAGAGAGCTTACGCCAAACCTCAGATTACTATCCAGGCACATTCCTTTTTCCAATTGAGCTTCTCACCCAGGCGGGTACATGTCGCTTACTCTTGGGAAATCCTGGAAAGGGGAAACTGCGGCAGTTGAGTTATCAAAAAAGAAAAACGTGGATCAGAAATGATGTTGGAAAACTGGCCATCAAATACCTCCAGAATCCGGATAAAATTTGCCTCGAGTTTTTGTCGTCAATTTACAGCAATGTACGACATCCATAAGGAGCATTTTCAAGTTGTAAAACCGTATCAAATCACTTCCCAGATTCAGAAAGGAAGACCTTCAAGATTGTACGCTGCATTCTTGTCCTCTCGATGGTGTATCATTTTGGTTATCCACAAATCTGGGAACAAAGATCTTAACATTATACCTTAGCAATTCTTTTAATCGTTTCACTGGTTGCCAAGCGATAGGATCTTGTGAAAGAACTACATGCTCTGCTTGGTCATGGACCACGGTAGACGCTGCACCTTCTCTCTCTAATAAAGTGAAAATGGATTCTCCTCCACTTTCTTGTTCGGTTGGGCTATCCAAGCCCGGCTGTTTGCCAGATTTATGATAGGCCGTCCCATCTCCAATGCCCGTTGATCAGAACTGCATCTATTGCTCAGTCGAGTGATCGGAATCTAACCATGTGACCACTGTTCTTTCCCAGAATTGCTTGATTTCTTCTCTAATAGAATTATTCTTTCCTCTTTTTTTCTGATTTTGGCGTGCCCTTTAGTTAAAAACAAAATATAGAGCAAGATTGGCCCTTAGTCCCCGTAAATTTCTACCTGTAGCGCACATGATTCTATTCAAAAGAAGTAAAAAAATCCAACCTTGCATGAGATCGAACCGAGCAGAGCTATTTATCATTTCCAAAGATTTTCCTCCTGATTTGTGTGGCTGTTACAGAAAATCAAGTTGCCAAAATAAAATCTTCTAGGTCATTCTTGATCTGTCTTAAAAGTTTGTGCCTAATGCTGCTTTGCTGGGCTTCTAGCACAAGAAATAACATTGCTCTCACTTGCCGAAATCAGTGGTATGAACATCGCCATGAAAACATGCTTAAAGCTAAGCAGTCCTGCATCTATTCTTCTCAGAGTCTCAAGCTCAGATATAGAATCTGCGGATGCCACTTCAGCTTCACTAACAGGTCCATTTTTCCGGGCCTTGTCCAACTGTAAACAGAAAGGATATAAAGAAAGGAATTTAGAACCCAACATTAATCCATGACATAAGTTCTAGTAATTGCGGTGCTTGAATGGGAGTCAGATGTGTATAAAATTAGGCTCGAAGGCTAAAGAGTTTGCAATGTTTCTAAACTAAATGTTCAAAGTAGGGACTTAGGGTGATGTTCTTAATTTGCCTGAACAGGAGTTCACATAACAAAGTAAAAAATGTTCAGACCAAGGACTTGAATGGTGTACAAAGATAACACGCCCAAAAGGCAGAACTTATTCCCTAATCAAAAAAGAAAAAAAATGATAATTTAAAACTCTTGAAAGAAACAGAAGAGTTTAGACAGAGGTAAAGAAAGATTAGGTTTTCTCCGGTTCCACTGATTAATGTGAAAGCCAACTTATTCAGAATGTAACTGCTAATGCCCTCCTCAGATATAGTAGCTGAGAATTTGACTGAATTTTCACCACTTCCTTTGTAATGATACTTGATATTACCAAAGGCATCTTTACCTATCTGTTGTAACTTCACGAGCATGAGTATGGGTGGTTGTTTGTTTTTATATTTTAAAAAAATTTGAATTTTTTTGCTTTGATTCAAATTAATATTTTTTTTGTGTTTTTAGATCATTTTGATACGCTGATATTAAAAATAATTTTTTAAATAAAAATATTTTTTTAATATTTTTTTAAGTAAAAAATATTTTAAAAAATAACTATAACCACATTCTCACGCAAGCTTATCATATCTGCATGTACCACGAAACACATCAAAAAACCTTAGCAAAAATTTCTCATTGGTTTCATTCCTTCTCCCATCACCCACCCCGTCATAGCAAAATTCAAATATTGTGATGAAGCTAGGTATATTGATAACCACAATATTTACAAATATAATATCATATTAACAACATTATACATGTTTGAAAACAGATTGCTTAAATTTTCTAGCTACTCGTATTTCATACAATGAAGAAAAATAAAGATATTAAAGAATTATAATAACTATAAGAATAAACAATGAAGAGTTTTTAGAAATTATACACATGTTTAAACAAAAAAACATATGAATTTTAAATTTTCACCACTTATTAGTGGCTGAAATTGTTCCAAGTTCAAGACTCCAACCAACTTATTGTTACCCTTTTTTCACCCATAAAAATCAAGAGAAGAAAAAATTAGAAAAAATATTAAAAAATACAAGATGATACACACGAAGAAAACTTAGAAGACTTCCCAAGTTGGTGATGAATGACCAAAAAACAAGTGGAAAAGTTGGAGCACAAGAATGTATAAGATTGGTAAAACTAACAACCCCATTCTGATTGATAAAATATCCCATTAGTGAAAATATTTGTGTTTTGGATAAATAAATACAAATTAGGATTCGTCAAGACTCAAAAAGAATTTTAGAAGACTTAATTAATTTTATTAAAAACTTAATTGCGAGAAAAAATTTTTTATTAAAAACTTAATTGCGAGAAAAAAATCATTTTTTTATGTCAATTCAGGTGTTAATTATAAGAAATTAAAGTTTGGGGACTGGAATTGAATTTTAAAAAGTTTAATTAGTTAAATCAGGGGTTTAATTATAAAAAAAAAATTAGTTTGGTAGTCAATTAAGGGTTTCAGTAAAGAAATTCAAAGCTAATGACCAAATCATAAATGACACGAGATGAAAATGATCAATTAAGAGTTCAAATGCATAAATCAAAACTTATAAACCAAGATGAAAATGGTGCTAAACTTCAGGACTAATATTTGAGCCCAGCAAGGATTAAATTACATATAATTAAAAGTTTTATGTCAATTAAGGGTACATATGCCATAATTAAAAGAACACAGAATAAAATCAAATATGTCAAATCCCAAATTAAAAACCTTGATTTCTAAGGATTTAATTTAGACAACGTGTCATTCAGCCTTTGTTCACCTTATTCCTTAATAGTTCATGATGATTAGATTGGCACCTTTCAAAAGCTCATTGTAAAGTTTTAGACTGTAAAAAAATGGTAGTAATTGTTTTTTATAAATGGATGAGGAACATCCCCTCTACAACTCTATTTTCATGAAATTGAACATTTACATCTCAATTCTTCCATAGAAATCTCCAGCATCTTATCCTTAATCAGTCATCATTCAAGTTTTAGATTATGAGATAATTAAGTTGACACCTTCAAACGAGTCAATGTGGAGTTACAAACCTCTAAATGGAATAAAGTTGGATCCAAACAAAATACGTACTCCTTCTCTATTAACTTCAGGTGGTCTTCAACCACGATGACGTTAAAATTGCTTTGACAAAGCCTTGAAAGTGGCCAATCCAATTAGCCTTGACTAAGATATCTATTTACACAAAATCACCCAACTTTTTCATGTGTTCACACTTAAAAATTCCTAAAAGGTTTTTATCAAAGGCTAAGAATACTTCTCTCAAGATGAAAAGGCTAAAACACTTCACGTTGGCCTTCACGTTTGATCAAAACCACCTGAATCCAGAACCATTTATCTTGTGATAAATCTAGCCTAGATTTGGTTTGTTAGAACCCTAACAAACTCATTTAGGAGCTTTGAATCATCCTATAAAAGGAGTGGTAATCTGACAGGAAAAAAACACTAAAAGAAAAAAAAATTAATTAAGGTCTAAGAGATTCAATATTGAGTTCAAGAACTACCTAAAGGTTCAAAGGTTTGTCCTTGGTGGCTTTAGACATAAGAAGAAACAAAAGCAGCAGCAAAAGTCTATTTTTATTGAAGATTTCAAGCTCGAAAGCTATACTTTTACAAACTTTGAAAGTGAAGTCCATTAGGCCTGCTGGATTCAAAACCTTTTATTCACTGTATAGTGCAATGTTTTTTATTTGGTATGCATATAGTCAAATTTCTCAAAATAAATATAAAAAAATCATATTTAAAAAGAAATAAAATTATATGGTGAGTTATAGCATTTTTTATATATAAAAATATATTTACATGTATTTTTTATATAATAATCAGTTTATTAAATTCATAAGAACTTGGTCAATATTTCAATAACTCATTTATTTTTTTTAATTCATAAGAATTACTAACTAGTATTCTAGTATAAATACTAGACTTATAGGTAAGCTGGTGTTTAAATAGTAGACGTTGGTCAAAAAATTGTGAAAATTATTCTGAATATTCATTATAGTATATAAGTTGTGGAAAACTCTTTCGCCTCCATGATAGTTGAACTCTGTCAAGGCACCTAAAAAAAATTCTTCCCATAAGAATTTATCTAGATAAGAGCCTATAATAAATTTGAAATGCCAGAGTTATTTATAAGAGTAAAAAAAAAATTAGCCATAGAATAACTATCAGTTAGGAACTTATCAAAACTTTTAAATCATATGAAAATCATAAAATGCAGTTTATATTAGTTAAGGTGCGCTAGGGGTGCTAATATCTTTCCTGGTCATAATTAATCCCTTACCCTAGAATTTCCAATAAGACTAATGTACTGATCAGCAGGTCTCCTAGTAACCCTGAACCAGACAACTAGGTGGTGATTCCTTGAAACCCTACATCATTTGCCCACTTGCAACATAACTCTTGTTTCAAAAATCAACTTCTTCTATATTCTCTAATATTTTTTTTTTTTTCCTACTTATTCTTCAATTTTGATTTTGTTGATGCATGGCCTGTGACATGATTAAAAGATTGATGTTTTTTTTTCAAGTGTAGGAGTGTCAAAGTAATAAATAAATCGGCAAGACTGAAGTTAAATCATATAGAGATTAACTATATAAATTATAAATAACAAGAACAACAACAATGACAATAACAACAACAACAACAACAACAACAATAGTAGTAGTAGTAGTAAGTTAACGAGGACTTTAAGATTGTAAGATTAATATGAGGATTAAAAAAATAATAAAAATAAATGTCAAGGTTAAAGGATCCACTAATGGTATTTCAAACAAGTTAGTATAAACTCTTTTTATTACTCAATGGAAAATCACACATAAAGAAGGTTCCAGTCGGATTATAAATTGTTAACATAATTACATTAGTTATCTTATTTAAATAATGCTAATACTTGTAAATGTTGTCAGGTATTCATGATTATAACTTATGTTAACAACAAATCAAATTCTTTTAATAGCACATGTGTCGGTTATACCATACGATTGGACTATAAAAGTACCAAGTATTTGTTGCACCAAGTGTTATACAATAC